TCTTCATTTAAAGGCTTGGTAAAAATATCCACTAATTGATTATTTGAGCTTACAAATTCAAGAGTAATATGACCATTTTGCACCTGCTCTCTTATAAAGGGATGTCTAATATCAATATGCTTAGTCCTAGAATGATGTATAGGATTTTTAGTCAAATTTATGGCACTTGTATTATCACAAAATATAGGCACATTTTCAAACTTTAATCCCAAATCACAAATAATTTGTTTCATCCAAAGAATTTGAGCACAACAACTAGCAACCGCAATATATTCCGCTTAGGTAGTTGATAAAGCAACCGAATTTTGCTTTTTACTAAACCAAGAAACTAAGGAACTACCAAGAAATTGTCAAGTCCCACTAATACTCTTTCGGTCAAGTAAACTACCTGCAAAATCCGCATCGGAATATCTTACCAAATTAAATTCAACATTTCTAGGATACCACAAGCCTAAATCAATAGTTCCAAGCAAATATTTAAAAATTCTTTTAACGACATGCACATGAGATTCTTTAGGACAAGATTGAAATCTAGCACAAACACATACACTAAACATAATATCGGGTCTACTAGCGGTTAAATAAAGTAAAGAGCCAATCATACATCGATAAGTCTTTACATCGACACATTTACCTTTCTCATCCTTGTCAAGCTTAATGGACGTGCTCATAGGAGTTTTGRCAATTTTACCTTCATTGAATTTGAACCTTTTGAGCAAATCCCTTGTGTATTTCTCTTGACTTATGAAGATACCATTCTTGAGTTGTTTGATTTGGAGTCCAAGGAATAAGCTAAGTTCTCCCATCATACTCATTTCAAATTCATTATGCATGCATTTAGAAAATTCTTCACACATAGAAGGATTAGTAGAACCAAAAATAATATCATCCACATATATTTACACTAGAAGCATATCATTTTCTTTAGACTTAATAAAGATAGTAGTGTCAATTTTACCCATTTTAAAACCATTCTCAATAAGAAAATTACTAAGTCTATCATACCGAGCTCTTGGAGCTTGTTTTAAATCATAAAGAGCCTTTGTCAACTTAAAAACATGATTTGGAAAATCAAAACTTTCAAATCCTGGAGGTTGTTCCACATAAACTTCTTCCATAATATAACAATTTAAAAAAGCACTTTTCACATACATTTGGTACAAAATAAAATTCTTATAAGAAGCAAAAGCAAGTAACATTCTAATGGCTTCTAATCTAGCAACGGGTGCAAAAGTTTCCTCATAATCTATTCYTTCTTAACAATAACCTTGAGCTACAAGTCTAGCTTTATTTCTAATGATATTTCCATTTTCATCCATTTTATTTCTCAAGACCCATTTAGTCCCAATTATAGAAGCATTAGAAGGCCTAGAGACTAATTCTCAAACTTTGTTTCTTTCAAATTGATTTAATTCTTCTTGCATAGCTAAAACCCAAAATTCATCACTTTCGACATCTTTAAAACTTTTTGGTTCAATTTGAGAAACAAAAGCAATGTTATTAAACATATTAAGGGAGGAACGAGTTTTCACACCTTGTTTGGGATCACGAAGAATTAAATCCTTAGGATGGGATGAAGCATACTGGAAACTCYTTAAGCATGGATGAAAAACCGCCCACCTTATTTTCGTTGATGCTCACTTCTTGCTTACTTGAAGCAATCTCTTTGCTTTGTCACTAACAAGTAAATCTCCAAAATTTCTTTCTAAAGAATCACTACAAAAAGAATCATTAGAAACAACATTGCAAGATTCATCAAATACCACATGCATAGATTCCTCAACTATCAAAGTTCTTTTATTGAAAACTCTATAAGCTTTACTAGTAGAGGAATAACCAAGGAAAATACCAACATCTATCTTAGAATCAAATTTTCCAAGCTTTTCTTTGTTATTTAACATAAAACACTTGCAACCACAAACTTTAAAGTACCCAATATTTGGAATTTTGTTATGCCGAAGTTCATAAGGAGTTTTATCTAAAGAATGTCTAATTAAAACTCTATTTAAAACATAACAAGCGACATTAACGGCCTCCGCCCAAAAATAAGAAGGTAAACCATACTCATGTAACATTGACCTAGCAAATTCTTGCAAAGTATGATTTTTCCTTTCAACCACACCGTTTTGTTGAGGAATTCTTGGAGCGGAGAAGTTATGAGAAAATCCATTTTCTTCACAAAAATTTTCAAAAGTATTACTATCAAATTCTTCTCCATGATCACTCCTAATTTTAGAAATAAAAAATCTTTTTTCATTTTGAACTCTTCTGGCAAAACTAGAAAAACTTTTCAAAGCATCATCCTTATGTTTTAGCATCAAAACCCAAGTAAATCGTGAAAAATCATCAACTATCACAATGGGATAATAGTTCCCTCTAAAACTAGCAATTCTAGAAGGGTCAAATTGATGGAACTCTTAGACATGCACAGCGGAAGCTAAGGATCATAATACACTTAATGAAGCAATTTAACTAAAATAAGCATGCTTGGAAAAATGATGAAAAAAGTAAAGAGAAAAAGTTTAACTTTATACCTTTGAAGACCTCCATTATAACTTCTTCTCCTAACTCAATGGGACCACCAACGACAAATCCGTGCTATCATCGGGTTGATGAACACGGTTGTGGGACCGAATTTTGAGTGAAAACAAAGGGAAAACACTAATGGCTAGGAGAAGACAATAGAAATTTGAGTGGAAAAATTCTGCACTTATGCAAGTAAGCATTAGTCTTATCCAAGTGATCTTCATCATCTATATAAAGACCAAATACATGCAAAGACATGTCTTGCATGCCTTCCACTTCAAACTCCACTAGCATGTAAAAGATAGGTGTCATTGCCTTGAAGAAATACTTCAAAAACCACTAGTTAGTGAGACAATCCAACTTTGATAAAACTAATTTTTATAAAAACAAAAATTGAAATATCAATTTTCTATTAAAACAAAAACCAAGCCAAATCAATATCTCATATTAATTGGTCTTTGACACCTAAGCTTGATTAATCACATTAATCAAATTACAACTCTTTTTYATGCTTTGAACTTATTTAAAAMTAATTTAARTAMGTCATACTCTCCATAATAATTAAATGTCAATTAGATTATATATTATATCTCATATAAAATACAATATTCCCTTAAAAACCGAATTTGAACACTTCAAATTCTTGCTTCAC